GCACTGAACCAAGGGATGCAGCTTATTTCCTAAAGTCTGCAGCAGCCATATTGAACGGCCTCCAAATTGTCAGGTAGGAGAAATCCACATATGAACGGAAAGAATTTCTTCAGAAAAAAAAGAAAAAAATAATGAAAATATAATAAAAAACTTTTAACTCCTTCAGAACAAAAGTCTTTTGTCAAAATACCTTTGGTTGGATTTTTTTTCCTTTTTTTTTTTTAAAGGAAGTAGCAGGGAATATAGAAATTAAACCCTTAAGTTCTGGGATCACAGCTTGCTAATCACTTTTTTTCTTTCTGTATTTCCCATTCTTCAAAAATATGATCAAAGGCAGAACACAAAAGAAAGGAGAATTATTTTAAATGAAAGTATTCTCACTTTACAATTTCATTTTCTCTTTCTCAGTTCTACATTTCAGGTAACATCTGTCTTCCAGCTAGTGTCTGTGTGGTTCTCAGAAACACACTCATTTCTTCTCTGGTTCAGGGCTATGTTTTAAACTACAATACACAGACTAAAATCCACAGAAACCCTTTTGTTTGTTTTGGGGGATGGATGACCTTTCTGAAGCAGTTTTCTCCTTATCAAAGATTATGTGGAAACATTAAAGCCTCATGGGGTGGAAACGAGTCTAAAGGAGTAACTCCCTGCCAAGACAAAATTGCCTGATCCTCACAAAAGCACCTCTTGCAGAAAACTTCCCCGCTTCACCAGCACTGGTCATGGAAGATTAATTTACTTCATTATTCTCAAGAACTCCGATTTCCTTCTCCTCCTCCAAATTCAAGACACAATGAAAAATTCTAAATGGATACTGATGAAAAAGCTCTGTTTTGGTGTAAGAGCTATAACTCCACACTGAAGAACTCTTCTAGAGCAGGGGGCAATGCTCGCTCTCACAATGCCTGCCCGTTCGTGTTCAATAGTGCAGCAAGCAAAGCTTTCCATCTCATAGCAAGGAGGAAACAAGGACAAAAACAAAGTAATAAACTGACTAGTATTTTTCATTTCTCCAAAATTAATTTTAAGAAGAGTAACAACAAAGAAACTACTTTTTATCTGAAGTTTAGAGCAACAGGGAAATAAACCTCAGACACTGCAGGCTTAACTGTTTGGTATTTGGCAGAAACAGATGTCATTTCAGTCAGAATGATCAGGATTAACAAAACAAAACCAAAAAAACCCCACACACTTCCAAGGCCACATGTTACTTAGCTTTTAAAGTCATCTTAATGGGAGGCAAGGAAGGGGAAGTACCAGTAAATACGAGAACAGTTGCAAAAATCACTACTACTAGCCAGTCCACCAGAGCAGGGTGAACTTCTTCCTAGCATCATTACTGAGTATATCTGTTAAGCCAAATACAATAGTAGCAGATATGAACTTTTAATTCATATTTCTAATTTGAATTGATGAAATGTTAAAATAATCCTTCATTTGAGAGAAGCAATGCTGCTTACATGCGTATGTACTGCTTTGTTCACCTTGTAAAAATACAATCTGGAAGTAGTTCAGCTCTTTTTATTTTGTCAACTGCTATATTAGATGTAACATTTTGAAGGAAAATTATATAAAAAAATCAATTTACACGATTGAAGTGCAGTGTTCTTAAGGTACCTGTAGTTTTCAATTTAAAATTTTAGAAAAGACCTCCCTTGCAAGGATGGCAAGATTTTTCATGGAAAATCAGAGCATTAAATACTTTTGAGATACAAAAATACTTAAAGGCAAGAATCTACAATGCAAGGACTAGCCAACTATTTCTATATTATGTGTAAACCTATTAATTGGTCTCAATTGCCTGTGTGCAAAATGATGAAAAAGACTAGAGAAAGTTCTCATCATACCAAAAATCTTTAAGAGCAGCCTTTCAGAATTCTCGTTTTGTTTTAGTGAGAGTAATTTTGTATTTTATTTTCAGATATTTAGCATTTAAAGAACAGCTATAGGTATTCCTGACATCATCCTTAAGAAAATTACCTGAACCTAATTGCACTGAAAGCATAAATACACCAGATTTACCCAAATACTTGGATATACAGTGGGCAAAAACAAGAAAACCTTTCAGTCAAGCAATCCAGTGAAAGTCAGTGGAATCTGAACACCTACCCTGGTTAGATTTTATAAAACTGATCAACAATTTCAGTAATTATGGTGCAGTTACAACCTTTATGAGCCTGTCTTCCTGCATCGCCAAAATAACTAACTTTACTTGGAGAGAACCATACTCCTGGAATTTCTGTAATTTACAGGGTAGACTTAATTCTTATGTTCCCACTTGCTTCATCAAAGTGGTCAAAGTGAAAATTACTCTCTTGCAAGAAAACATTCACTATGTAATATAGCTTAACCTCCTCTTCTGTCTGTCCTTAAGCTTGCTCCGCTGTAATGTACTGTAAAACAAAGCGAGGATTATTTGCATCCACCACGTTAGGCATTATGGTAGTACATAAATACACACAAATCTCTCAACTACAAATATAAGTATTCTGTTTACTTACCATTGTCACCTACTCCATTTACGTATTCCAGCCTCACATTTCATGTTTATCACACCATTCTCACACCTAGCTTAGGTCTATAAAACATTTTAATGCATTCTGAAAACTTAACACGTAAGTTCTAAGATTAGTTTGACAACTAATTAGCACAACAGATTCTTAATTAGGAAGCCTGTATATTGCTGTAATTGAAGTAGATGAGTTATACAGCAAGATAAAATGCACCTAATTGACAGTGCTTTTTCTACCATATGGTTTCTCTCTAGAGTCATCCCATTCTTTTTCATGACATTTAGATATGTTGGTACGTTTAATCTCATTTATTTCTACTTCTAGAAGACAATCGTTACATTAGTATGAAGATTTTGGAGACAGAGAAAGCTACAATTTCAAAAATTTCTACAGCATTAAAATTGTTACTACCGAATGAGCTCATAGATCTCTTTGTTCAGGTCCTTTTGTTAAAGTAAAATGCACCAATATCTCCCCTGCTTTTCCCAAGCTGCAAGCGTATAAGGTGAAGAATTTGCCCCCGAACCCCAATGCTCACAGGAAACTCTCTCTGAGGTCATAAAAAGGTATGCCACGTATCCATGTAACAGGTTTCCAGAATATTGAACTAGCTAAAAAATACCAGTTAACTAGAGAAAAATCAAATTCAGATCTGACTAAAAAAAGACAACTAAACAACTGCATTAACCAAGAAATGACAAGTCTCAATTTGAGTCAGTGGTTTCCCATCTTTTGCTATTAAATTCCCAAATCCAGTTCATTGCGGGACTGCCAGCTATCACCTTCTCGTCCACTTTCAGATTACCTCAGCATATTCACAGCAGATTTTTTTCTTTTATCTGTTTGCTTTCTATCTCTCTCCAGTCTTAAGACCATTCTGTTTCCTACCTCACCAGAATACTGTATGACACTTGCAGCACTGCGATCTACTGGTGGTTCCACGTGCCAGAAAACGTTTTGACAGGCACAAAATGATGGTCTGGCAATACTTGTCTAGGTAACGCCATATATTAGTGCCTTAACAAAAGCTGTTGGATGAAGAATAGGAGGTAGAACCCACTGAAGAAACCTCCTTTGATACTTTTATAACAAAAAGAAAGTTGAATCCAGAGTTCAGCAGCCACTTAGCAGCTATTGTTGTTCTCTGCTTATTTTACCTCCGTCTCATCCTATTTCCCTCCGATCTTCTGGTTTGTCCACCTCAATTCCAAGGGATCCAGCCTTTAAGTATTAAAAAACACGAAAACTGGAGGAGGTGTCATATTTACTGTAAGAACATCTGCAGGGTCATACTACTGGCATTTAAAAAAGCCAGGTTAGGACAACCAACCTTCATTCGTCCCTTCTTGTATGAATGTTCTGTATGTCAAAATATCTGAAAACTGCACTGATACAGTAGAACTTATTTTAACTTGCATTACGAATAAACTGCACATGCTGTTTTACAGACAATATATATTTGTAAACTTGCTCATGCAAAATTAGTGTGCACAACAGGGATATTTGTTTTCTAATCCCCATACCTTTAAAAATGACATTTATGTCTGCTTTTTTTGAACTGTGCCCAAACCCTCTCTTTAATATAAATCTTACACAGAATTCATCTGCCAGCCAAACCAATTTATGAAGCTGAAACGAAAAAGAATAAAAAGTTATACAAAAACATGGTGCACCTGGACGCTTGATTCCCACCTCCCTCCCCTTTTTGTTTACAAGTAGAAAGAGTGAATAAAAGAAAAAAAAAAATCATGGTCACAAAATTTTGACATTTTAATCCTAAACATTACAGGGCAAATGGATGTTGGAACCTATTTCCATACATCATGCGTCAACTTTTTAATTCCCAAATGTGGCCAAATCCACTAAAACAAGAGTGGTTAACAAACTCTGGATTATGGAAATACATTTCTGGAATAAATGCTAGAAAAGCAACAATGGGAAAAGCCAACTCTCTCCATAAAGGTAAATAAAGTGGAACAATGTGTAGATTAGATACTTTTTCTGTTTCTTACTCATAACCTGTCAATTCAGTGCATCATATGGTTCAACATAATGGTCCCCATTTTGGACAAACATCTAACTAGTGTCCATTGATTCCAAGTTAGTGGATGATGAATCTTTTTGGATACTTTCAAAGATGGCTGCCAGCTCAGGGTTAGAGCTTATCTGTGACTGAAATTCACTCATTAATGGACTCTTCTCTGCTTCTGGAATGGTTAGAAGCGCTGCTACTGCCCTCATAGCAGATCGTTTCAGTTCATCTTGCTTTTCAAACTCCTGTTTCACTGAGTTTGCCTTTACCTAGGGGAAAAAAAACAAAAACATGTTTGAAACTTTTGCTTAACCCTCCCTCTACACCCATCTTTAAAAAAAAAAAAAAAAATCTTACAAATACCTATTTCCTTCCATACTACCATTCTGCACAGCTTTCAAAATGGCCTAAGCTCTTAAAAAAAAAAAACCAACAAGCAAAAAAAACCCTCCAAACATCTACTTTTTAGCAGACTTTTTACCAGCAGTTTAGAAATAAGACTGAAACTTGAATACTGCAAGGTAAGCAGAAAAAGGTTGTAAGCTACCAAGTCAATTACCAAATCAAAACAATTACAGCAGCCAACCTCTAGCTAGTAAGGTCAGTAAACAACATTAAAATGACATTATCACAATACTTCCAGTTTCCTGAGAATAGAAATTTTTAAAAAGTTGACCTTCGTCAGAATAACTGCTTAACCTTCTGTTATAATTCTCAAAGATGTTTCAGTGATACAAACATAAATTACCATTAAAAGCAGTAAAATTTCTTTATGTGAAATATAACAGATTACAGTAATGAAAAAGCAAGGTAAATCAGGCATCAAGAATGGAAGAAGACTAACTGTGCCAAGACCCAAGAATCTTGTTATATAAATGAAGAAGGGAAAAACAAAACAAAACAAAACCAACAAAAATAGGACTGCTTTACACTGCCTCCATCCTTCGTCACTCAAATGGTTGTCTGCAACAACGTAATCATTAGAAGTCAGAAAAACTCTCAGTATTCCAGTTTCACTATTTATAATTAAATGAGACTTACATGTTGCCCAAGTGGCAGCCAGATTTTTAAGGAACAGAAGAAACAGCATCAAAAAACCAGAGGATTTTTAAAAAGAAGCTAACAAGTCTACTCTTCCATTTGTAATTTAAAGACATTTAATACATATATAGGGGCCCACATATTTATATTGCCCTACTGCAGCTTATGAACTATCACTCAGGAAATGCTGCAGCAATACACCTAGACTCTCAGAAGTATTCTTGATACATGAGTTCATTTATACTTCTATAAAACAACACAAAATAATTAACTTAAGTTTTAAATTTAAAACAATACCTTAGTTGTACATGTAGCACGCAAAGGTTCAACAAGCCTATCCAACCTCTGCAGCACTGCACTTGGACAAAGGGTAGACAATCTCACCAACATTAAAAAGGTTAGCATCTAGGTTGAGAGAAAACCAATTCAACAATCAGTTACGCTCAGCACATATATGGAGAGATATTTCCTACAATGCTGTGTAACCTTTTTAACAGCAACACTTCAATAAAAATGGCAAATATAGTACTTAAGCATATGAAGTAATATTTTTACCATTTCAGTCTATTCACTGTTTAAAATATTTTGACTAAGTCACTGCTTACAGAGAGAAAAATGACAGCTAACCTTAATATCATAGTGATCCTTCAGGCCATCTTCAACATGGTTTAAGAATTCAAATATATCTAGTCTATCCAAACAGCTATCCAAAAGAGTATACATGCACTCAAAAGCTGCTTTCCTTATGTCCAGCCCATCATCAACTGTATGCTTAAATGGTCCCATTTCCACCTGTCAGCAAATAAAAAAAAACAAAGAAGTAATATATTTAGAAAAACAAAGAATCTACTTACATTTAGCACTGCTTTTCTTAGTCAACATACCTCTCTGATTAATTCCTTTCTGACTTTTGTTTCATTGTAAAGATGAGGAAGCACAGTATCTAAGAGGTCCCTTATTAATGATGGTTTATTGTGTGCAGCTGAGTTAAATGTCACTAGGGCTACTCTCCTGACATTGAGATCTGGGTCCTCCAATGTTTTCAGAAAATCACCTGCAATCATGTACAGAAATAAGTCAACCTATGAGAATCTTTTTCATTTGCTATTTTAAAAATATCTTTGCTTAGTTTCAACCTTTAGTGCAGGACTTATTTTGATGTAACACAGACCACCAATACCTCCTATTTTAGCATGATTACACAAATAAATCTATTTCATTAAAATCATATCAAAAGTATTCTATAACTGAGATATATAGCATTTCAGATAATGAAACAGAAGTAAAACACACCACCAAAATAAATGTCTACCACTTAATGATATTTCAACTTTTTTTTAAAGGTATAACATGTAAATTAATGAAAATTATATTTAACACAATCTTTCCTCTTCTCCATTAAAGTCTCTCAGAATATGCATTAGAAAACCAATTTAAATTCTGCAGTTCAAGAATTGGAGAACATCTCTTAAGGAAACTATCAATATACTGATTTTTAACCCCTAAATTGGCATATATTGAGAATTCCTAAACTACCAGAAGATAAGCCCACTCAGCATATATTAATGTAGCATCCCATCCCACCCCCCCACACACTCTGGGCATTTTCTATAGTTCTATAACACAGCCTTGTTAAAATAAATGCCTGCAGGAATAGATCATATTTTTTCCCCAATGTCTGTGAAGTTTTACTAGCAATTTCCAAGAGGAGTGAAATTTTTAGAAGGAGAAAAATAAAAGGGTGTAAACATCAAAGTGACTTCCACACAGAAGAAAAAAAAACCCTGGGTAACAAAACTAAAGATGACTGAGATTTTTGAAGTACTAGATACCAATAGTTTTTTGACTAGATAATCAATAAGTTTTCTTTAGAGAAACCAAAGAGGCAAGGGAGCTTCAGTGGGAGGGACAACAGGGGGAAAAATCCACAAGCATAGTCAATTTGTTAACACATTATTAAAAAATTTTAAGCTCAGTGATGAAAATAATATATAGGAACTGATACCCCTTCCCCATAAATTAAAACCTTGTTCTCTACAAAACTGTGTGTCTTCAAAGATGAATCTTTTTTCCCCTATTAGTTTTAGCAGTATTGTCCTGGTTTCAGCTGGGATGGAGTTGATTTTCTTCCTAGTTCCAGCACAATACTGCCAACGAACTGGCATACGACGCTGGTGCGCTCCGTACCACACAATTTTTACAGATCTTTAAACCTGTAATCAAGCCACTATAGAACACTCACCATAGCGTATTAAACAAATCTACAATGCTTTGTCATACAAATGAAAAAAGATCAAAAAACCACAGCATTGCAAAGCTCTTCATCATACTGATGTTATACTGAAAGCTCTGATTATTATCCCTGTAAAAATTACACGCTTTCAGTAACTTTCAGATCACAAAGCGTTATAGAATTCTAAGGACCTAAATTTACAATTTGCCACCTGGCAATACTCAGAATTCACATGTGCATACATATTTTAAATGACTGAATGTCAAATATTTCCAAGACCACCCTTCTGGGTAAAGACAGTACCTTACTACATCAAACTGATAGAATTTGGCAAGAGCATGGGAAAGGAAACCAGCTTTTGGGTACCATCTTCCTAAAAGCCCTAGGTTCTTTTATTCTTCGCCCATCACAGCTTCAATACATACCATTTTTATCACACAACTTTTACTGTTCAGAATTCAAACAAGCTAGAATTAATATAAATAGTTGGCTAGTATGGAAACATTTTATAACTGTTCCAACAGTTACCATTAGCAGCTAATTCTGCAAAATATTTTCTTCTGAAAACACAACAAACAATTTTTAAGTGCAATTCCATTGCTTGAAAACGTAGAAGCTGTCACTAAAGTAAAGAACTTACCTATGCAGTTCTTCAAGAGTGGGTCTATGGGTTGTGGATGATCAGAAATAGTGAACTTGACAGCAGTAACCACTGAACTTCGAGCATATGAAGACCCTAATATGAAACAAAAGTGTAAATATGTAACATTAATAGAGTATAACTACAGAATTTAAATCATGTTCAATTCTATTCTTTTTAAACTTCTAATACTCCTAAGAACACTAAAGAAGAAATGTTACTTATTACTAGCAATGCTGTATGTTTTCTCCATAGATGTTCTCATGTTCCATTTTAAACATGGGAAAAGAAACCATAACATTTGTAATAAACATTTCACATTATCTGCCACAGAAAATTCAAGTAATGAGCCTATTAGGACTCATTTTTTTAATTCACCACATAAGCCTACAAACCACTCTCCTCTTTAATGCAGAAGCACATGAAGAAAACATGTCAACATTCTTGATATGAAACTGATTAATTAGTTATGCACAAGGATCCTTCCTAATCCTTAAAAATTTCAGAATTCTTATCTGAAAATTAGCAATACTGCCGTTTACACCAAAATGTCAACATGTTGCAACCGGTTTGTCAAGTAGTGCTGTCCCTTTGTCACCCATGCTCCTTCCCCTTTAAGTTTATAACTCTTAGTTAAACATAAGATCATTACTCGAAATACCACAGTCTGAAAGCAGACCATAAAATTAATTCATGTTATGTATGACTAACTTCTTCTAGTAAAAATGAAACCATCTAAGCTTCACATTTTTGGGGCGGGAGGAAAGCAAAACTTCATGAGTATCACAAAATTTAAGCAAATAATTTGCAAAACTACATCAATTTTTTTTTAATAGATAGCATAAGGCCATTTGCTACAATATGTACACGAGTTACTACAACTCACCCGATGCCAAGTATCCCTTGAGTCGTGGAAGCAGAGTCTCTGGGTCTATTAACGTAAGCTTGCCCAAGCATTCAGCAACAACATTCCTTGTACCCTCTTCTGCACATTCGCAGTGTTTCAGGAGTAAGGCCCAGATGTTCTCAACATATGGTTTGAGACCAATCACTGATGCAGAGCTAATTATTTCTTTCAAGGAATGAAGAAGAAGGTATTGCCTCTTAGGTTGACTGGTTATTTCTTGTAAGACGAATGGCAGATACTCAGGAAGATTGCCAACACTAATACTGCCTAATGCGTAAGATGCCGCCGATTTGACTTCTTCGCTAGGAGAAGAGAATGCTTCTAGTATGACAGACTTCAGCTCAATTTGTCCACTTAAGTCAATGTGATGCCCAACTTCCCCAAGAGAAAGCAAAGCCAAAAGCCGAATGGAATCCGTGGACCTTGAGTTCTTGACATCTTGAATGAATTGACCTACAACAGCTGGTCCTTCCTTAGGGCAGGCTCGAGTAAGGGCAGCAACACATTTGGCAATAGAATAGTAAGACTGCTTGTGAGTAAGTGCTGTGCTCTGTGAGTACACTGGACCTGTTAACATGCGCAGTAAATCCATATAGCCTAAATTATTTGTACCAGTCACAACCAAAGCTTGGAAAAATTCTAGCATGGCACTAAGTGCTCCACCCTGAAGTAGAGGCGATCTCACCAGCCCAATAAGTTCATTGAGAATGGACCCACTGATCTTTGACAGGGAGGAAGGATATACTTTAGCCAGCGTTGTCAGAAAACTGATGGCCATCTGTGATACATGCATATCACTTTCACTAATCAGAGGTGGAAGCTCATCCAGGACAGCATCAATCATGGCAGCTGTCAAGCTGTCACTGTAATTCTTAATTAAAATATCTAGAGCAGAAAGAGTGCCCAGTTTCAAAGCTCGCTGATTCTTTCTCAAAAAAGAAGCAAGAATAGGAACTCCTTCCCCAAGGATTGGTCTCAAATCTATCTTCAAAGGAGAACCAGCAATCAATGTCATGGCCTTCACTGTAGTTAACCGAGTGATCTCATTCTTCAGTCTCTCTAGGAAGATCTGAAGTGTACTAGGCAGGTCTGCACCTAGGCTGTCACCAAGGCTACAAATTATTTGACCCATGCAAGATATTGCCCTTTCTTTCACCTCCTGATCAATATCAGCAGCCTTTAATCTCTTGATTGTACAAGTAAACAAATCTTTGATGTAAGGAGTAGCATCAAAGGAAGAAGGCTGGTCTAAAGGACGAATGACTTTCACGAGTTGTTGGGTAACCAGAAGTGCCTCTGATGTTATCTTGTAAAATGGGTCTCCAACACAAGCTACAACTGGAGGTACCAATGCCTGAACATGAGGATGAAAGACTTGGGGAGAATGATTGCAGAGGATCACATACAAACAGGACAAAGCATCTATCTTCAGATTAGAAGAACTTGATTTGTCATTCAGTGAAAAAATTATTCCTGGAAGAAAAAAGAAAAATGTATTTTTAGGTTAGCTATTTATATTCTGTTAGAACACTCCAAATTTCTGAAGGAAGGCAGCGATACACAATTTATGTCTTCCTGCTCCCAGCCTTTCTTGAATGCTTCCAAGCCCCTTTCACCATTTTATTCAATCAATTCATTTTCAAGCTTCCTCTACAGAGAGGACATGGGCCATTTGATGTATTTTCTTAATTATAATGGGATTCTGAACCTTTAACTTTTCCAAACTTACTTTTCCTTGTTACTTCAAAATTCAATATTCTAGGTCCCAAAAGCTAAAATATGGACAATATTTCACTCTGAGATGAGAAAGAAGGCAATTTGATCTTGCAATTAAGAAGCAAATTAACTTTTTTTTTTAGATATAGAGGAAAAAAAATCTCAATCTTAGCGCCAACCCTTGTTTTCAAGATTAATAGAAATATGCCACTAAAACATTTATATGGATCCACACAGTAGCTGATTATTTTGCCAATTTCTCTAAATAGAAGCAACACTTCAAAGCTTTTGCAAAAAGCACAGTCAAGACTTAAAAATTTCGAAACTTCACATCCAATTTACTAATAAATCTTTAAGTTAATAATATGTTTCTCATACCTGGTACAAGTACAGGAACATGTTGTGTTAGGGCTCCAGGTAATACATTTACTAGCTCAGTCAGCATGTTAAAGCAACACTGACGAGTCTTCACACTTTTCTCCTTCATCTGTTTGTGCAAGGCTTTAACTATGTTTGGGACCTGTAATCATTGCACATCTGTTAATTGATTCAATAGCTGACATTTCTTTCATATAAAGAAGATATAGAGAAAGATGTGTGTCCTACCCCTCTATTTCAAGAGCTAGAGAAGTTATAAACACTCGGAAATGAAGATTCAAAAGAATTACTATCCAAAAAAATAGTAATTTAACTTTAAAAGGTGAAATGAAACAAAGCAAAACTAAATTTGCATTAATAAAACTGTAGAGAGCAACAATTGAAAAGTCACCCAAATAATTCACTTAAAAAAAGTTTTTCAGTACTATCCTTTTTATTCTGTAAATAAAATACGTTGTAGCAAATCAAGTTTCATCTTGATCATTAGAGCTTAGGTCTGCATTACAGAATGCAGAAAATAACTATTTTGCTTTGGTAATTTGGCTAAACTCATAGGACATGCAAATTTTACAGGTGACAGTAAACAACTGAAGTCAGATAAGCACATTTACATGAGTTGGTAATTTCAGTTTCCAAGACTACTGCACTTTTCTGGGCCAGTTTACCTGGCTTGCTCTCTATGTTAGTACTACAGTAATAAACTGTAAATCTGTGTATGAAGAATGTATGATATGGTACATTTCAAGAACTATGAACAGGGCACAACTTTAGTGTGTCTTCTCAAAGATAACAAAAATCTTGACAAATAACCTGACTCTGAAGCATTGTTAAAGGTGTCTCTCCTTGTTCCATTGCATCAGGATCGCAAAGCCAACTTTGCACAGGTCGAGTTTGTTTTAAAAGAGAAAGATATGCATGAAAAACATCGGCTTTAACATTCTCTTCACGTTCTTTGAATCTGGCTATTAAAGCAGGAGATACAGTTTTGTAAAATTCTGGAAGCATTTCATGTCGTGTGCTAACCACAGCATCCAGACATTTAGCAGCTGCACGTCTCACTTTCCAGCTCATGTCATCATCATCACTATATTCATCATCGCTCCCTTGAAAAAATAAATTATGCATATGTTCAAGTCTAGACAATCAAAGCATCAAGTTTTATTTTAAACAGTTAATAAGAACACACTTGAGTTCTTTGTGTAAGGCACAACAAAGAAATAGGTTCAGAAGTATGTTAAAAAACATACATAAAAAGCCTTCTAAACTGCCTAAATCATAAGGCTAATTATTTTCTCTGCCAATTTTTTCACGCTAGTCTTACACATGTATTAATTCAAACTGCAAACAGGACAACGCGGTTCCCATCACATTTACAGCCTTATTTATTCCTCTTTATTCGTGACATAAGCAGCAATGCAACAACAATTACTAGCTGATCAAGGTTCAACAAATTGTTCTGTTTGTTTCTTTCTAGGAATGAATCAAACCATATCTGCCCCCAAAAAATGACAATAAAAATATACAATAAGCAATACAAGTTGACTTTTTAAGCGCAAAAGCAACAACTGTACAGCTCATTCATTCTTGAAGTAATGAGAATTATGCTCTGGGTTCAGATTACTCGTGTGTCCAAGTTTTCATAAAGCTTACATATGGCAAGGTATCGCCACCGTATTAACATTTCAGTCTAAAACATTTTTTATCCTGCAGAAAAATACCGAGTATTTTGCAATTTTCAATCTATTCTGATTTTATGCATTAGGTAACAATATATTACAGTGGAAAGTAGTGAGAAGCCTGTCCCATGCTGAATATGTATTTTCAATTAATGAACTGATGTTTTTCTCACTTTAGTTATTTCATCCTACATGCTTCCACCTTTTTCCACCTTTCAAGTATTTCAAAATATTTGTCTTGTACTTTATGTTCACCCTGGAATTATTCATCTCCAGCAACAACATCCTATACTTATATTCCAAGAAGTGAGTTCATACGGTATGTTTAAAAAAAGTACAAAAGTTGAATACAAAAGTATACAAGTCATTCAAATGCTGGTACTTAATAGCAATACCACCCATACCAATTTTCTCAGATGAGTGCAGGTGCACAAGCTCTTCCTCTCCCCCAAACCAAAAAGAGAATATACCTTGATCATCATCATCACCACCATCAGCATCCATAGCATTTTCATCTTCATCTTCATCATCATAATTGTAATTAGGATCATAGGTAAGATATTTAAGACAAATGTTTATAATAGTAGATACATGAGGATAAACTTCTTTAGGACATCTGTGTAATACAAAAATACAATCAATGTCAAAATACTTTGAAGAATTAAAGTATTTCTAAAAGACTTCATGCCACAAACTGTACTTTGGAGACATTAGCCAAACCAAGTACCATCAATGCATCCATCTGAATTACAGAAATTCAGAAAGGAAGGTCAGAAAGGGCAATGCTACTATGTAACTGGATCTGCTAGACTGGAAGGTTCCAGAGGACCAACATATGCCTTTGGATATCAATTTTGTGTCACCACTATTGGACAACAAATATTATTAGAATACTTCTCCCCCTCCTGTTTGCATAAGTAGCAACGGCACAGTGAAAAGTTTCTGAAGTACAGACATAACTGTCCTGGTTTCAGCTGGGATAGAGCTAATTTTCTTCCTAGTAGCTGGTATAGTGCTGTGTTTTGGATTTAGGATGAGAATAACGTTGATAACACACTGATGTTTCAATTGTTGCTAAGTAGTGCTCACACTAAGTCAAGGCCTTTTCAGCTTCTCATGCTCTACTGACTGAGAAGGCTGGAGATGCACAAGAAGCTGGCAGGGGGCACAGCCAGGACAGCTGACCCAAACTGGCCAAAGGGATATTCCATACCATATGACGTCATGCTCAGTATATAAACTAGGGTAAAGCTGGCCAGGGGACCGCTGCTCGGGGACTGGCTGAGC